TACCTGTGAATATGTAGTAACATAACGGCCTCTTCTACCTGTGAAGTTACATTACGCAATTTATATGCTACTCGGACCATTTGGTAAACAGTTATTCGTATATTTTGTTCAAATTATGTATGATTGTATCACAGTACTAATACATTTCTCATCCATTCTTAGAACATACAATAAGTATATTCATTTCGTCCGCTCTGGGGAATGTCCGTGGTCAATATTTGTGATGTCATTGATTGGTGGACCAAACAGAGTTGATTGCCCGGTCCAAGGGCCATCACCGACGGGTGATACTGGTGTAGGATTGTCTCCTTTAGAACCGCGCCCTGTCGTCCTACCCACACAAGTTTATTTGCTGCATTATCCAATATCAGAAGCTGTCCATCTGGAGTGAAGCAAATATCCACTGGACCGAAATCCTCTTGTGGAATTTGGTCAGTAGGGAACTGGAATTTTATATTGAGTTCGCTGTCAAAAAGCGTGACCTTCAATGGCCGTTCCATCTCATACCCGTAGCTCGCCGCTATCTCCCTAGAGCATGGACTCTCCCGGATGACCCTAGGGTACACCACAGATAAGCGTCCACCCAGCCATTTGGTACGAAGGAGTTCCTTCCCAGTGTCATTACACTGAATGATATCGTTGGTGACGCCGATAAGAAAAGCCCCACTCTGTTGTGCACAAATACACAGAGGCAAAGACTTGGTTTTGAATCTTATCACCCTCGTCTTTTGTTCGATCTCCGTTACTGAGTGGTCTTCACAACAAATCCAAGCATACCCGGTAAGAGGTGAAACACAAACATCCATGATATTAGACATGACCCGAACCTTCCTGGTTTTTTCTCCTTTCTCGTTAACAAAAATGAGACGTCGGTCACTTATGTATGAGATGACGAACTTTCTTTTGTCGTAACTCAAGGAACGTATCCTGAATGTTGACTCTTCTGGGATATTTGCCATTATTTTTAGGTCAGGCGAAACGTTCTTTGGCGAATCCAGATGATGAAAATCAAAACTCGTTGAAGAATGACGCTTCGATGTTGTGACCCCTAGCGACTGTTGTTCAGAGTTATTGTTCTTTGCAGATTTCTTTGGGGCACGTCGTTCCGATTGAACTTTTCTTAGCTGATTTAATTCTACTCGTGGAACAACCAATGGAACCGATGATTCTATTTCTGGTTTGGTCCTTGGTGGTCTTGGAGGAGGGTCGTGTGCGCTTTCTCTTCTTTCAATTTTATTCTCTGCAAAGGATCCGAACTTTGGTCTAAGATCGTCCATTGCAAGGTCGGTAGAAGTGAATTTTGCCCGTCTAAAGGGAAGAAATCTAGGAAAATTTGGTGGAAGTGCCAACTCTTTGTAGTAGTTGATGATATCAGTTGCATCACCGTAGAGAAGAACTGACTCATTTTTGTCTTTCGTTAGGTAATGTAACTGTTTCTCAAGATCGTGTAGCGTCGTTCTGTAGTCAGTCACGTTAGCCTCGTTGTCGTCTAAGAGGTCCTGTATGCGTTGTAGTACCTTTTCTGCAACCTCGTCGACCATGACCTTGACCTTTTCCCTTCGTAGTTTTACCTCCACTATTAAGTTTCTCAGATTGTCCGTCGTCTGATCGTAATCTACGTTGATGTCGTCTAATCTCTTAGCAACCGATTCTGCATCCGCTGAACGAGTGCTTACAAGCTCGGATATCTGTTCCTTTAATGACTTTGCCGTTTCTTGAACGCCGTTAAGTATATGTCCTCGGTGGACACTAGTTACACACAGACTGCACGCAAACATATCACCACAACCGGAACAGACGAAAACGATTTCTTCTCCTGGATGGGAAGGGCAGGAAACTATTTCCGGTGCTGAAGGGGTCGCCATCTCGGTACTGTTAGTGTAGTTGAAAACTGCAAGGAAAATAACATTGTGTTAAGCTTTGATATTCGACATCGCTGTATAAACACTTTGATCAACGTTTGTTTACTTTGTAAAACGGACTTTAATGAAATACTGAAAAACCAAAACTATATTGAAAGGGAATGTTTCTTCTCTTACAGGAGAGAGTGAAAAAACCTAACCTGATAATGGGAAAATAGTGTCACTTCCAAAACAAAAAATCGTTTAATAAAGAGGGGGTATCGACCTAATATCTACAAAAGTCATAGGGCAATGTCCTGAACATGAATTACACATACACGGGTAAGGATCATGTGATCTCGACTCTACAAGCGATGTGTCGCTCATATATTTGTAAGAGACAATATAGCATTATAACGGGGTTTTATAGAACAAGAGTGATCAATTTGTTGAAAGCTTGTCGCTCATATTGTAATTTGAAAATACTTGGTTTATAATTCGGAGCTTTAATTAACATAATTGACCGACATAATTTTCAAGACAGTATCAGTTTGTATGTAAAGGTACATGCACTTCTCGTTACACCTATATACACGTTGGTGTATATAGCGGTATTCAAGTAAAAGAGAACATAAAAATATACCATGGCGTAAAAGGATATTACAGCAAAGACATAGGAAACATAAAAGTAACAAGAATTACTTCAAGGACACCCACAATGGATTGCCCATAGAAGACAGCCCCTGTCCATAGAATTACGGTTTTCGTTACAACTTTTTATTCTCCTGTGTTGCTTTTATCCAACAACTTGCCTGTAATATTATATAAGCATATATATACCTGTGATTAATAGTTCGTCATTGCCCAATACCGGATAATCGTGTCTTCCTCATCTAGACAGGCTGGACTATAGTCCTGCTATCTATATGTGACGTCACTGACCTGATAAAGATAAAGATTAACTTATGAAAGCTTAACACAGTCCACTAGGTGTGTTCACCGGTCGATCACGAGCTCATTATTTACAAAATGTTTTATCTCTATTCAGTTTGTGATTTATATTTACGGGGTATTTTTTCTAGGTTAAGGGGACAAAATGCTTAATCAGCTTCGAAACAAGATCTGCCGGAAACACTTTAAGTCGTTGTGTCTCTAATTGTTTTTTGTGCTAAGGAGGCAATAATTTCCACGTCGTGGCAGTGGCGAATGTTTAGCTCACATGAACTGAAGGGCTAAGTGTCCGTAGTCTGTCGTTCGTTTTTAAGACTTTAAAAGACTTCATGTCCAGAACAGCTTAAGAAATTTGTCAAAGTTTGGTGTAATTTTGTGGATTTGATGTAATATAAATAAAGGTTGTGACTGTACTAGAGGGAAAATAGTGGTAACAAACTCTAGAAATTCAAAATAATCTAAGACATCTCCGGGTAAAAGGATTTTGATCTTTTATTGCATGGGAAATCCCTAAACCAAGGGAATATTATGTTCTAGAAAAGAGTGCTGTGGCCGCCTTGAGGGTAGGTGGGTTAGACATGCTAGATTGGAGGAAATACGGGTAAATATTTATTACACTTCTCCTTAGAGAAAAATTCGAGCCAAAATTGGCATGGAGCACCAGAAAGGCAATGAAACTCGATCTGTGGCATAAGCAAAGGATACTGTTACCCTGGGTGCAGAGGGGCAGACGCGGGAAGGAAAAGGGTTTATCTTACAATAACCAATCCTGTGGTTACGGTGAAAAAAATCAATGCGCCATTGGAATCCAATATAACATGTAGAAAAAGAAAATATGTCAAATAGGGGGAAATGGAGACAAATCTTAAACAGACCACTCTGTAAATACAAGGGTAGGACATCATTTTATATTAAGTATTGACTCTCCCTGGAACAAGAAATTAAATATTGCATTAATAAAGAGTATGACTTGGCGACAAAGGGACTTGACCCGATAAAATAAATGAGAGCCAATCTTTAAAATACTACTCCCTAAGTGTCGATGTAGGGGTTTTAATCATAACTGTCATAGAAATACAACCTTAGGCAAGGAAATGCCTGGTTGATTTATAAAAGGCTTTTCCTACATGATAAAGAGGGGATGAACCAAGAGGGGGAGGGCTGCAAACTAAATGTAGTTTAAAGACTGCTAGTTATGAAGTTTGAATGAAGAACTTTAAACTTAAATGGCATGCTATATCCCTCAGCAACAGCAACGAGAATTCATTCAATCTATGGTGTTACAACAGCTATAATTTCCCTAGGAGCAGAGGTGCTACACCCCTTCAGACCGGGGATTTAGAAAAGAATATACGTGATGTTATCCTTTGCATACTGTCAGAGGCAACTAATGCGGAAACCCTTGCAGAATTAGGGATTTGCTTTTGCGTCCTCTACTTCGAGACACACAAGCGACCAAATTCCATCTACTCATCCATTGCAACACTGTGTTTTTCTCTACTTTCTAACACCATTTCCATTTCCTTTTTTGTTTGTTTGCTTTTTGTTTTTTGATGTTGATTTTTGCGTCTTCCTTTGCATTACCTAACCTTTGGCCTTGCTGTCGAACGTTCGTCCGAGCGAATATGGTAATGAGTTGTGTCCCCATGCCACAGGGACAAACCAAGGCCTTTAAACATAGCAGTCGTTGTTCTCTGCTAAGCGTTCAGCATTTCGAGTAAATGCTCCAACTGGTTACCCTGTCAGCGTAACGTGATCTGATGGAATGCTGTGTTGATTTCGATCGGCAATGTGTTACAGTGAGGTAGCACTCTAAAGTTGGCATTAGTTCCCCTCTGTAGCTATGAGTCAAGTACACCAACAAACCGCCCCAGCACCAATTACACGCATAAACGCATAATTCTCACAGAAAGAGGCACGACCTCGAAATGACAGCAGCTGTTAATAGGGCACTAAACATAATTAACCAAATGCTCTCCGATCAAGCATGTGGAATAATGAAGCAGCAAGTGCTGTACAAAATATACTTGTTTTACCTTGTTTTTAATAATGGCAATACAATATTTTCCATGTAACTATATTTGTTCAAAATCTATAATAATTTTAGCCCCGAAAATTGTTTTGATTTTTTTATCTTGGTTGCAATAATCAATCATCGAAGGGAAGACACACTAAGTCGGTTAAACTGTGCAGAATCATCTGAAAACTTTACAGCTGGCAGAAACAATGTCAAGTTCCAATGTTTGTCGTCGTGTTATTATTTATTCAAACGGCGGGGTTTACTCATAACAAAAACAATTATACATTCAGGTGGGTATCAGGTTTGTTTACAACAGGCGATCCAGTCTTTGAGTGCGCAGAATTACTCACATTCACATTGTAATCTATTGCTTCGGAAGGGCACAACCACTTTCTCATTATAGCCTACATAATGACTATGAATTCTAGCATGTAATAAATACATCTACTATTAACCAGCATGTACTGATTGAAAGTTCAACAAAATAATGAATCTAGAACGGTAGGAATTAAAATATGCGGGAAGTGTGTACTAGATAAACCTAAACACAGCATATCGCCAAAAATCAACTTTAGTGCATGCACGGGTCAATAGCTAATATGCAGATATACCTATTTCTGGCACGTTTTTTTTTACCTGGGTGAGAAATCGTGCAAAAATAACTGCGTTCGATACACGATTTCTAATCTGGGCAAGGAATCGTGGTTTGGATGAGATATCGTGGTGTAACAATTAAAAGAGGGTGTTAAATGTATATCAATATGAAACTAGCGTATAAAATGTGGCCAATTATAAAGAAATTTTATTCTCTGTCATGATGTTTCACATTAAGATGTAACAAAAAGGAATATTGAATCAGTTATCTTGCTGAGAGATAATAATTATCATCACGTTATTATATACCCTTCAAATAGCAAAACTATCTTGATTAACTGATGGCATGACATATATGGTATAACATATGTAATAATTTAAAGTTACTATATGACGCTTCAGCCCGAACTACCTATATCGGGTTCAAGGTCCGAAAGCCGTGGGCTTGATATAGGTCAACAACAAGTCTGGGGTCTTATATCGAAACAGTCATATCAGAACACTTTTTTTATATACAATAAATGGTGATTTGTGCGTTAATTAACACTATTCAAACATGAAAAACCCATTAAGTTTTCCTGCTTTACTTTTGACGAACACTTATTTATTGTAATCGTTAAGGTCTGTTGCTAATAATTCCAATATACTTTTCCCGTTCATGTTTCCCGGAGAATTATTGCATATTTTGTAGAGTTGGGTAACAATATTTTCCAGTAGAATGTGGACATTACTTTGGGACCAAAACGTGTCCTCCTCTGGCCGACTTTTTGTTTACATATCACGTTTACAGAAGAGCTTCTAAGGACTGGAAGGTTTTCCTTTGCCAAGTCCTTCCATTTCATTTTCATATATATCGACAATGCCATATCTATTTATAACAGGACTTTACTGACCACTTCGAACATATATATCTTCCTAAACTTGCATGCAATGACACTACATACTATTCAAAGTTCAATCTTTACTTACAACATGGCTAACAAGGACGGCTTTCTACTAAGCTGTACGATAAGCGTGACGATTTCAATTCTCCGATCATGCATTTCCCTCTTCTTGATAGTAACATCGCCAACCTACGACGTTTACCTGTCGCATTTGATTAGGTTTTCGAGAGTCTGCTCCGAATATTATAATTTCCGTTAAATTTTCGACTGCTGTCGGACAAACTTTGCAACACTGTTTTTTTAGAGATGCATGTTAATTAGGACTGTGCACGTTTTCTGGTCGCTGTTCTCATGTTTCTCTTTGTGTAATATGAAGGATTGGCTTTTTGAATATGTAAGATTTTTATGCTCACTGCGTAATTCTAGCTATGTGGACGTGACATTACATTAATGATTTGTCTTAGGATTACATGTCTTATTTGTATTTTATACGAAGCAGATGACAATCACTCTTTCAGATCATCTGGCCACATTATCTTTGTTTTTTCAAGTGTCTCCATGTACGTTTTCCTTAGTAGATACATGTACCTTTGCAATATCATTAAAGTTTAATTCAGTGCAATTTAGCGTTTTCGAATGGAGAAAGAACATGAAAGAAAACAGCTGATTTTTGTATATATATATATAT